CCAGTCATGGAATTGAAAATATTCTACACGTTTAAATTTATGTCATTATTACTTCAACAAATTTAATTCCAAAATCACAATAGCACGCAAAACATGTTTTTCTTTCTTGCTTTTATTTCTTTTTTTTTTTTTTTTTCTGGTCGACTTTGAGCATTCTCCTTCACTGTGTTCTTACCAGGATGACAACCCCGCAGACTTGCTTGCGCTGAATGCCAGCGGAGAAAACATTTAAATGCAAATCACCTTAATTACATTTCAGACACTGTTAAAACGAATCTACTCGGTAATAGGAAATGAAAGGAGAGCTATAACCTCCGCTAAAGACCACAGTAAAATGTTCTTTCACACAAGGTAATGTTGCCTCAGCCGCAGCGACAGTAAATCATGTTGACTACATTGAACTTTGCTACTTTGTACTTTCTCTGCTTTTGTTTATACTCTGCCCGGTACTATTCTATATCTACTATTGGAATGCTACGGCTAAAGCTAATCAAAAGGCATGCGACCTAGATTTGCTTCTGACTTACTGCAGGGCATTTTTAATTGCGATCGCTGGCTCACATCCATCCACCTTACACACTTTTCCTTCTTAATCAGAGGCAACAAAGTGGCGACCTTTTGCTACCGAGCCACCTTCTCTGACTTTTACACTGCCTCTGAACTGCAGCTCCTCTCCTTTCGCAGCTGATGCCGTGCCGAGTAATGAAAGCATTTGTCCAGGCGGGAAGTGCCGTCACTGACGTCTTTCCTTGTCATAAGGTCAAAAATTCAACGAACATCATAATAGTAGCTAGTTTGCAGAGTTTGGTTTGTTTTGAGGAAAAAAAAAATGCTTTTCAACAAGCCCACACAGTTTCACGTGTGGCATACAGAAGTGGAGGATTTGAATTTGAATGGCTTTTTTTTTTTGCTATCCTGGAAATAATGTCATCATTCAAATTGTCCCCTCTACCCTATTTATATGGCTCCACCAAACCAAGATGTGCAAACAGGCAATCCTGTACATATTATCACAGCTTTGAGGCACAAGTATGGGCTCCCTGTCAAAGATAAGGAGAGAAAGGGGCTCTTCAGTCAGTGCTAGGCTATTATCCCTTAAAGCTGTGCACATTGAACCTGACAGAGGATTAACCAGCAAAAATGAGAAATCCAATGAGATCAACTGCCATCAGGCACAGGGAGGTGCGAAAGAATGTGCCGTTACTAAAAAAACGGCGTTATTTTTCCTCATTAATGCATAGGGATCTTTTCGCACCGGAGCAACACACGTTTTTTTTTACAGTAACAGTCGACGCACGACGCTCTTCATCGGCAACAATGAAGCTCACTCATTTACCATCTGTCTGGAAAATCCCCCAAACACAAACTAAGACGCAAACAGAGAAGGTAGTTGGAAAATACAGTGATACTAATACGTCCCAGCGTGATTTAAGGCAGTAAGCCGACAAGGAGAGCGATCACACCAAGTTCCCGTTGCAAACCCTCCAACTTCAGTGGGGCGCATGACATGAGCACGATCATTTCTGAAGGTTTTTCTTTTTTTTTTTGTTGTTTTTCCTTGCCCTCTCGTAGGGTTAAGCTCGGGGATGTCGTTAATATTTGTCAACTGTGAGCTTGTGAAGCCCTTTGAGACGCTTCTGTGATGAAGGCCTCTGTGAATAAATTAGAGTTGACAACGAAGAAGAAACCAGACTTCATACATTGTTCTTCTCATTTACAACATGACGTCATTTATTCATTCCGTAAATATTTGTGCCAGCAGTTGAACACATCATCCATCTCTCCTTCGATTGTCCGAAATCCACAAATTCCTAATTTTTAATGTCATTTTGGCGGCTTGAAAAGGACTTTCGTTTTGGATAAAGTCACTTCAAATGCTTGAAATAACAGCTAGATAGCTGACTACATGATTTGAAGAAATATGTAAGCCCCCCCCCCACCCCCCCCAAAAAAAATCTTCCAACGAAATATCCTCCTTTTGATAGTGATTGATTTTGACCTGGGTTTAAAAAAAAACTGTCTGTGGTTATTGTGATTGTGACTTTCAGCTTGTCCCATCAATCATAAAGGTGACGCTTCAAAACTTGCGTACCTGATAAGAACGTCAACGGCCATATTTTTTTGCCTATCCCTTGTTTGGATTGCAATGATGTCAGACTACACAGCCAGTCGCTTGAGAGTGATTGTCCCCGGCGGTAACAATACTGCTGATGAAACCTCGCCACGAGCTTCCCCAATCGGTCAGAAGCCCTGAAGATAAAGCCCGTGATTCATAACGCTACGAAACACATCTCCCTTTTGGTATAACATTTCAGAACCGCCATTAAAACAGTATTTAGTTGCAATGCTACTGTATTTTTTGCAGTCATCACGTTCTCCATGAATGGACGAATAATTTATGCGGCAATACAGATACGCATATTGATGTTTCGTTGATATATGCAGAGAAGCCTCTCAGTTGATCGTAAGTATGAACTCACACATTTTCCGACATGCCCACACGTCGTAAAAGTGTGTAGGCTGGTTCTAAATTTACCTCCATTTGTTATTCATGCACGCAATCACTCAAAGTATCCTTGGCTGCATTTGTTACATAGCAGGTGGGGTTTCCAGAAACGCTGTAAGGAAGCCGTTTTAATCTGCTGGCGCTGTTTGCAACGCGTCAAACTCTCCGGGTTGTTTTACGTGTTGAATTGACAGTCAAGCCACAGAGAGGTTTTGTCCTCTGAGGCGCGGCAGGCAGAATGACATTTAAGAATTCAAAGCCTGGATTTCTACGATCATTGCTCCTTGTGTGCACCATCACTCGAATTATGCACAAGAATAACGAAAGTTGTTGGCAGCGTTGGGCTTTTCAGACAAGTACTTAAATGCACAAAAGTGAAGCAATTTCAAGTCCAGCCGTGAGATGTAATGGGGCAAACCGTTTTGTTATTTATTATGGATGAAAGTCTGAAAACCAATGTAGGAAAAAATTGGATGTACTACCCCCGGAGAGGTAACTGTTTGCGCTCAATTAGTTTGATTGGCTGAAGACGACACGGTCAAAGCTCAAATGTAGAACTTCATGATTCCTCTACTTATAACCCGAAAGTTGGAAAGTGGAGACACTGACGTGTTCTTGAAAAGTTTGTGCATCTATCGTTGCATTTTGGCTCTTACCAGTTGCTGGACTCTACGCATGCCACTCTGGGCCATTTCGAAAAGTTTGTATTTGTCATTCAGAGCCAGTAACCTGTTGGTATTACATTTAGAGTTTGATGTGAACAGGTTTAGTTGATGAAAAATGGAATTTTTCCTCAATTTTTTTTAACCAATAATGAAGCCCTGATACAATACAATTGAAGAAAAATTCAGAATAATTGACTCTACTTGACTAGAAATATGATATTCAAAAACTTTTGGTAAATAAAAGACAATAAAATTCCCAACCCTGACCGTTTCCCAATGAAGGCACTTTGGTCAAATATCCAATATTACCATCCCTATCCTTGTCTAATGGCAACATGCATCAACAATATAATTCAATCATTTCAAAGAAAATAGTGTAAAACCCCCAAAGCCCGGTCATCGGGCATTCCAAAGCACACTAAAGTGATGCAAATGCCGAGGCACCTCAAAGAAGCTCAATCCCTAAAGAATCTCCCTTGCAGATACAGCTCCCAAATTGGAATCCTGTTGGTCGACTCTGCACAACATGTCTGTTGAGGAAAAGTGATGCTCAGGGAGAATTTCAAAATCGAATGCAGAAAAGACCTTTTTTTTCGCTCCTTATCTGCTTTGCCATCAGTTTTGATGCGCTCTGACTCACTCATGCATAATCCGCCTTCATTTGGATAGGATTATGAGCAGGGAGCAGATCATGTTCTTACTTATGTTAATATGCTCCAGGCTGGTTATGTTTCTTTTCTGTTATGTCAGCAAAAACTCGAATACCTCAAATGATCAAAGGTGTCATTGCAAATTGTTATGCACACATCAAGCAATTTGTTTTTTAGTTTGTGATCTGAGGACAAAGGATAAGCAATTCAACTATGGCCACCTCTGGCATCAGTGCTCCTCTGCATATTCAATAATCCAGTTAAAAAGAAGTGACTCTCACTGTTAAAACACTTCAAATGTATAAGCTCCAATCTATGAAATGATTTTGACATAACAGTCTCTGCTCTCTTTGACACAGTTCGGGAACGAATTGAATCGGATCCTACAAATGTAGGCACAAGTAAAATCCGTGCAAAAAATATTGATTTTATAACAGAAGTGCACTGACAAAGAATGAACAGAAATCGCTGGTCAAAAAGAACCACAAAAAACAAGACATTAACAAAATAAATGCTTGCAAAGGCAATGAAATAGTAAATCCGAGTCGAGAAATGAAATGACTAGAGTCCCAATTTCACGAAACAAAAACATGAGCAAGATCAAAGACAAAACAACAAATATAAGGCGAGAGACGAGAGAGCAAAAACGACAATGACGAGATTGATAGGTCAGGAAAAAAACACTTGAGCAAGAGCAGCAACAAGGTCAATAATCCGACGGAACCTTGCCGCTTAGGAAGTCCTTCAATACATGGCTTAACTTGATCAAATTGGCAGCAGGTGTGCAGGCTGGAGGGAATGCCCTCCGCTGCCACCTGCTGGACACACACATGAACAGAATCATGACTCTCTTGTCAGAGTGAGACCAGTCTGTCATTGTCACTCATCTTTTGCTGCAAAATCATGTAGTTGTTTTAACTGGATTGGTTATCTGCAGTACAGCACACCTTTATAAAGAATGAAGTAACATGTCCTTCTGGTATTTTCTAACTCTTACCTGAAGTAGTTTTGGTGCTATCATGACTTGACAACAAATTATTATTTAACCATACTTGTAGTTTTGACACAAATGGGAAAATAAAATGTAGTGTTGATGCGACAAGGACATGTGGAGATGTAAACAAAACCCTGTCAAAGCCAAATAGTGCTGCTCCCTTCTTAACGTGGTGCTCCATTTACCTTGATCCAGATCATATTCCTCCATGGTGCTGACAAAGTGAGGTCTGGAGTAGAAGTTGTGCGGTCCCGGCTGTTGCAGGCCCCCCAGGCTAAATAAGCTTCGCTCATTTGTTGCGCAGCAGGAAAAAGCCCTCCGGCTCGGAATGCAGGGGTAGCGTGTCCAGCTCTTCATCTCCAGGTCGAATGCCTCCAACGCCGTCACCGGCATCTTTCCTTGACGACCACCTGGGAATATATTTAAAAAAAAAAAAAAAAAATATTCAGCTTGCTTCAAGGCGAGAATGCACATGGTTCAAAATCCTTGTAAGCAATCACACGGTGGATGAGTTACACTAAATACGATAGTTCACTAACCTTTTGGGAATCGATCATGTGGAGTGTAATGGATGTGAGGTTGGTTTGAAATTTATAATGGGTGGTGCATTTAATATGGGACCAATTAGTTTACTGCCTCGGTGAGCGGACATGCAAAGAGTAGGGTAGAGTTCCGTGTGGGGCCATTTTCCGTGAAAAACTAACAATCAATCCATTTTCTCTACTGCCTGTTCTCATTAGGGTCACGGGTGCACTGGAGCCAATCCCTGCCAACTCCGAGCAAGAGGTCCAACGTGGACAGGAGGCGGGTCAATCAAGAACCAACTCATTTGAGGAAACAGCAATAACGTTGAAAGAAACAGCAAGTGATCACCTCCCCCACGGTGGTGATTTCTTCATTGCTGAAAAAAAGGCTGATAAATGTGAAAAAAAAAGGCAAGTTTGGCTGAGGAATTTGAGATGTATTTGTTTGTTTATTTATTTTAATAACACCGTCAGACTGCAAGTGCTAAACAAACACTGTTCAGTTCATTATCCCACATAACCATCCAGAAATATATTTGAAAAGAGATTTGAAGATGAATTTGCCTTTTTCTGGAAAGTTAAATTCATAACCCTAATCCTTACCGCAAAATACTACGCAGATGTTGTGTTCCACACCCATCTTTCACTTTTTTTTTTCTCCATTTAATGTTGTGCTGACATTAATCCCCCTAAATAACCTGAAGTCGACTTGCCACTTAGAGTCGAGTGAAGTGACACTCATTTGGACCGAGCACAAGAACAGACAGTTTGATCCTCTCAGGTTGTCTTGTATAAATCATTTGAGTCATGACAGACAACAAATGAAGGCTGTGAAATAAAAGCGAGGAGAGCTACGACGAGCGCAAGGGCATCGGAACATGCAAAGTGATAAGAATGGGGAAGGGCGAGCTTGCAAATTGAAGAGACTGATTCGGGAAGAGATTGACTGCCAAAAGGTGAGACAAGTTTGAAGTGCGTGGGAAGGATAAGAGCCAGAGATGTGAGAGAAGAAGATCGCAAGATTACCATGTGAAAGCTCCTCATAAAGAGGAATTGGAAATAGAACGGGCTTGATACTGTGTAATTACAACGTTTCTTATATGTTGCACAACAAAAAGACGAACCTTGTGTCATCTGTCTCTCACGCTATCCTGACAAAGCTGTTCAACTGGGCGGGGTGCCGCTCATCTCTTCAGAGGCCTGTCACGGCAGCAGACAATTTGTGCTGACATAAGCACGGCTCCATCAATCAGCTGCACTCACTCACGCCGCTGCGTGACGTTCACTTGTCCCATGTGTTCGGTGATTTAAAACTAGGGATTAGCGGCGGAAACCTGTTCACACATCTGTACTTGGCGGCAGAACTCAGGAATCAAAAGCACGAAGAATATATAGCTGGTATGAGCCAAAAGGAGACGCTCTCGATTTACCAGTCCATCTACTTTCTTACTCTTCACCTACGGGCACGCAATTTACAATCTCACTCTCACCTACATAGCCACGAGCTGCGGGTCGTGACAGAAAGAGGAAGATCGCGGCGACTGAAATGACTTTCTTCTCCCTTAGAGATAGGGTAAGAAGCTCACAGTAGAAACCGTTGCTCCTCCACATTGAGAGGAGACGAATGAATTGGCTCGGGCATCTAGACAAGATGACTCCTGGTCACCTCACTGGTGAGGTGTTCCAGGTACAGGACATGGTGGAGCGAGATGGTGTCTCCCAGCTGGCCTTGGAACACCTCGGCATTCCAACAGAAAGCCTTGACGAAGTGGCTGGGGAGAAGGAAGTCTGAGCTTGCTTGCTAAAGCTGCTGCCTCGACGACCTCACTCCGGAAAAGCGGAAGAAAACGGATGAATGGATAAATAGCATAATGACTTCTTACATACAAAAACCCGTGAGGTGGGGAGATATTGTTATGCCTGTGTGAGCAGCATTTTGATAGAGTGGAATAGAATTTACAAAATGGTTGTTCTGTCAAGTAAAATGTCCAAATGATCGTTGAGAGTGAATATTGTGTCTCATCTACCTGTAATTTTCGATCCAAAGTCCTTTAAATGGATAAATGGATAAACCTACTGTCCCGTGTCGGCTTCTTGCCTTGAGACCAACATGACCTCAAAAACAGCTATTCCTGTATATCGGTGATTCCCAACCTTTATTGAGCCAAGGCACATTTTTTAAGTTTGAAAAATGGCGCGGCACACCACCAAACAAAATTGTCACAAAAATTGGATACATATATCCATTTCATACTTTTTGCCATTTAATAGATCATTTATTTGTTCTGTCTGTCAGTCTAAGTTGCTGGCATAGATAGCTGGACAATTACACATGATTTGTAATTGATACATAATTTTCTCACCAATTAAGTGCACTCTGATAAGTTCCCACGGCACACCCTTTGAGGTTTGACGGCACACTAACGTGGCCCGGCACATCACTGCTGTATATTACTTGCAAAAATGGGATGTTTCCAAGGCAACACGGGTATCACTGAATCCATAGTAACACTGATTCCGAATCTGCCCTCATTTTTTTTTTCGAGCACATCAGATTTCCATAATGATGATGATGATGATGATGATGGTGGTGATGATGATAACAATTGTATCTAAACATTGATTTGAAACTCCACCAAACCCCCCAAAATGTCCTACCCATGATGTAGATTTTGTTTCCTTTTAGGAAGGGCGTGGCTCCATATCGCGGCGTCGGCATTGAGGTCAGCGGCTGCCATTGGTCCTTTTCTGCCTCATAAACTCTCACCAGGGCCTGAGGTGTGATGTCCGGCCCCATGCCGCCCAATGCGTACACCTTGCCATCTGCAGTAAAACAGACCTCATCAATTTCCTCGTCAATAAACATAACTTGTAAAATAGGGTGCCCTCACCGATACTGTGAAAAGCGCTCACAACGCAATTGACAATTGATTGTCCGTGCATGTAAAAAATACGGAGATTTATTATGACAATCAAGTCCAGTCGCAAATTCCTGGACTGAAACGTTGGATGAATATTTCAGGGTCAAGCGACCCACCGCGATCATGCATGACATGTCATGAAGTGCCCTTATGCCTCATTAACCTATTTATAGCATAAACTAATCATTCCCTAAAGTATTGTAGATACCAGGAAACCATAAAGACGTCCCAGTACTGCAGTGTCAGTTATTATTAAGACTTAAAAATAAGGCGAGCCAAATGCTGTGCAAGTAAATCTGGTAAGCCTGTTGAGGAAATGCAAGGCCAGAAAATCGAAGGGGTGGACAGGACGGAAAGAAAGTAGGAGGGGAAGATGGAGCGTGTGGTAAAAAAAAAAAGAAAAAAGTGATTCCCGCATTTCAGATTAGCGATCTATTAGTGTTCGGACTGTTGTGACTTTCCAAATGCGAGAAAGTGAGTCACCGAGCGAGGAAGGCTGCTCAGTAACGCAGACGGATGACACAGTCACCGAGCTGTGGTTCAAACTGTGAAGAATTCAGCACAAATAAATCTGTCACTCACCATGAGTGTGATCGCCGCCAACATTTGCATTTACTATTAGGAAGTTCCTACCCTCACTGTTACACAATCAACGAACAGCTCATTCTGTTTCATGACACTCTCTGTGTAGAGAAGCTGCTTGCATGTGGTGCAAGCTGGGAACTGAAAAAAAAAAAATGCCTCACTCAGTCCAGAAAACCTTTTAGCGACTTTTGGTTGTTCAACTCTCCCCAGGGAATTCAGAGTGATGAGCAGACCATCATTTCAAACAGATATACTTTAACCCTTTCAGGGACAGCGGTTACTACAGTGGGCAGTTTATCATGTTAACAGGTTACATGGTGCACGAAAGGGTTAAGCTAGTAAACTGTAATAAGCATTCCATAAAAAAATCATCATCTGCATTGTACTGTATACTTTGCATGATTTGCGTTTGCATCAGTTGACGATGACGCATTTGTATTTTCAGCAAATATGCTGCATCTTAAAAGAACAGATTTTCCCCCCAGTATCCCAGGGCCCACTTAACGGTGCACATGTGCACTTCTCGTGCACGACTAGCGCCATATTTAAAAGAAATTAGATGAATGGCCGTGATTTAAGTCGGCTGTGACCACTCCCAAAGTGGCACAGCACTCCCTTTTCCCTATCCGCCGGCCTGCGCTCATCTGTGAATTTACCAACATCGGGTCTAACCCACCCCGAGGCAGTGTTACATCACATAAGATTTAAGCCATTCACGAAAATAGACCCCTACAACTTGAAAGATTTTTTTTTTCTCTACAGGTTTTGTTCAGTGACGATAATCCAAAAAAGGAAACCGTTAATGATGACAATAGAACTTCAAAATGACTTTTTTCCCCAAGTTTGTGCACAATTAAGGATGTGAAAATGTTACTTAAAACACTGCTTGTACAACAAGCATCCGCACTGCGACCTCTATATGTATAACTAAATGTAACCTGTTGCTTGTCTTTGTGTGTGTGTGTGTGTGTGTGTGTGTGTGTGTGTGTGTGTGTGTGTGTGTGGAGGCAAAGGCATGTACACTCGTGCTCCTGTTTTGGCCCAGCCTTTGTTTAATCATGTGCAATCTCCTCTAATTAAGGAAAGCGGGCTCTATTCTTTGCCTATCACCCAGGGAGTCACCATGGCAACCGCAGCATAACCTACAGACTTATGATGGTGTGGTGGTTTGACGGCGCAGTGCCCGTCGACCAAATCCGTTATCACCAAGAGGCAGACCAGTGAGTCACAGCAAAGTGTAAATGTGCAGCTTTCTATTTTGTGACGTTGCTTCTCCTCCCAAGCTGTGGTTGAGAAGATTCAATTGAATACTTTGATCCCTCCGCATCTTTCATCAGTGGCATCGCGCTATTGTCTTGTCGCTCCCTCCATCATCGCCTTTTGGCTATTTATAAGTCCACTTTGATGCTCGTTTTTCCCAGTATTTGCTTAATTGACTGCTCCACTTGTCCTTTTCTCAACCTACTTTGTTGTTCCTTTTACTTTCTTTTTTCATCTCTTAGCGGAAGAGGGGTGGGGGAGAGAGAGAAAAATACCCTCTTTTACTTTCTGGCCTATCATTATCGCAGCTGTGATAGCAAAGAAAATAAGACAGAAAATGACAAATGACAAATTGCTGCAGCATAGTTGTGACTTTAAATCAATGGTTCTTAACCTGGATTCGATCGAACCCCAGGGGTTCAGTGAATCGGTTCAGGGGTTCGATGGAGCCTCTGCCATGGAGGGTTGGACACGCGACTCAACATGTCAGGTAGTTATGACACGCCCACCTGGCGATCACTGGCTGTAGATGATCACATGACATTGCTTGTCCAATCATTGCTGTGGGAAATTAAGTTCGCTTAGTAGTTAACGTGTGACTGTCGTGATCGTACGTCGTACAGTTAAAAAAAAAAGTATACTTATCTTTTGAAATTGAAATGTATTTTTTTTCTGTTTTTAAATAAATGTGTTAATAAATAAATTATATATATATAAATATATATATATATATATAATTTTTTTCCCACTAATGAAGGGTTCGGTGAATGTGCATATTAACTGGTTGGGTTCGGTACCTATAAGAAGGTTATGAACCACTGCTTTAAATGCTTCCATTTGTGCAGCTGGAAAATGAGGTGTCATTCGTTTTGGTTGGCATTGAAACAATACATGTGACATGGGTTAGATAGGATATGAGAAGGATCAAGTGGGAATCGGGCATCACTAATTGCAGTGTCAATCCAGCCTAGACGCACTGGACCTTTGTAATCTCCACAGTCACCTGAGTCATGGTCATCATGATAGTGCTTAAGCCAATTTGAGTGCCGGTCCACACACTCCAAGTTGGAAGTCACTGAACACTGATAAGCTTGAAATATTGAACGATTTCTCAAAATCAACAGTGCTCAGTTTGTGTGCAGACACCGGCTGGCAGCAACCGTGAACCATGAACCTTTTACAGGCTTAATCCTTTATGGTACTCGTGAGAATTGAGCTAGGCGCTTACATTGCAGTTCATTTATCAGATAGCCAGGGAATCCAAACAAAAGCGTGATGTTATTAGCGTTATCACGCTAATAACATGGCTCAATTTTGTTTTTGTTTTTTTTGCCAAAGTCAGATTTGCACAGGAAATGACTCTTCAATGTCCAATGTAGATGTTGCAAAAATGCCGACCTCAAAGACAAAAGATGAGTGAGGCAGTAATGTTATATGGCATTTCACCATCATTTTTATTCTACCCAACTCTTGTACGCTCACCAGGCCCTCCATTATGTCCACTTGCACAGTCTAATGTGACCAAACACTAAGAGCTCTACTGGAAAACCCTGTAAAAGACTTTCATTGATAACGTCAGCGTGGTAATAATTTAACAGTGTGGGGAGAGTTTAAAGTGGTCTAGAAATCTGTTCTGCATCTCACTGAGAAATACAGTGTACGATATACCATCCATCCATTTTCCGATCCGCTTTATCCTCACAAGGGTCGCGGGGGGTGCTGGAGCCGATCCCAGCTGTCTCCGGGCAGTAGGCGGGGGACACCCTGAACCGATTGCCAGCCAATCACAGGAATGAGCTCCAGCACGCCTGTGATCCTCGTGAGGATAAAGTTGTTCAGATAATGGATGGTTTGTATAAAACGTGCTCAAAAAAAAAAAGTTTGTTTTTTTTTTTGTTCAAAACATGTGGCAGGTCCAAAGTTGCCTTTGCTGTTAATGATAAACTGCAGGTGAACTCCCACCGTTGGATAGAACTGCACTCATACATATGACAATTTATCAATGGATGATCAATATAGACCCCCGATAGCGCCCTTGAAAAACGAGAAGACGTGGGTGGGAGCATAACAGCTTTCACCTTTTGGAAGATCAATTGTCCTCTTTAGGACATAAAGACAAAGAAATTCGACCATTCCGCCCCCTCGTCATTTATCAATTCTTGCATCTTTCGGTTTTGTGCCCTGCTGGCAACTGCATGGCACCGCAGCCCCCAGGACGAACCGCCAAATTTGGATTAGTGTCAAGTAACGGAGTTAAAACGTCACCGTATCGTGCGTCCTCTTTTACAGACATCCGATAATAGTCTTGTCTAACCCTCTGCTGTGACAAGAAAAAGGATCTCAGTGAATTTATTGACTGAACAGAAAGTGTCTGGATGTGGAGGAGCGAGAAGTGAAGAAAGATCAGGGTCAAAGAAATGAATCCATCGACTGAAGGCGGCTTCCTTTCAGGTGCTCGACGAAGAGAACAAACGCCTCTTTACCGGATGTGTTTGCAGATTGTGTGAGGACCATTGCGGTATGTGTCGCTTGCGCAAACATTGGTATTGTTTCCTGACACGTTCAATTTATTAAAAAAGGTAATCTAGCGCATTTATCCATTGTATCCTGATCAAAAGCAATGGGAGAGAGCAGGCAAGGCTTTAAAATTTGCCACATTAATTCATTAAGGGAAGTTACATGAGGAAGCTAAATGTAATAAGGTTCTAAATCAACATGGTAAAGGACGACCTAATCTAAACATCTTGGGCAGCTACGTAAGCTACCTGAGCATGTTAAACGGGCTTTAAATTGCTTCCAATTTCAGCATTCCACTGTGTGTGTGTGTGTGTGTGTGTGTGTGTGTGTGTGTGCATGCGTGTATTTTAACCTCAGGGGGTATTATTGAAAATGTCTTGGAGCATAGGTGTCAAACTAAGGCCCGGGGCCACATCTGGCCCACCACATCATTTTACGTGGCCCGCGAACGCAAATCAACCAGGTCAACTTCCATGACGCTTGCTAAAATCTGCAGTGGCATGTTGAGCTATTGCAAGCATTTTCTTCTTTTACATTATA